GTTTTCTGACAGCCGAGCAGTCAACTCTGTTGTGTGGGAGTGTTAGGACTCACTGAAACAGGTGTTCTGAAAAAAACCGTTTAATAAACGTAGAAATTTCCTTACAAATTCCTTGATTGACGAGGTAGCACCACAAAACGTGCGGAAGGTCCAAATAAAGTTTGAAAAGTTCTGTCTTCGGTACTTGTGGATTGACACTGACGGTGAAATACTCTGTAGGCCCCAGGGTGTTTATCACGGCTTTCGGCGGCTTCTCTTTGGATGAACTGACAAATCTGTGGATTGCTAGGAGGCACCTAGAGAACAATGTTTCCACATGTTCTTTTGTTTTCCAAAGAACTGGAGCATGCACGTCCAGGAGAAGAAACACTATGCATCCAAGAACCTTTTTAACTTGAATCGCATAGTTTTAGAATTTTTCCCCCCAGTCACCTCTCCATTGGTCTCTCACTGTCACCTGGTGCCAATTCGAAACCTGATGGAGGGCGTGAGAGAGGTCAGCATCGCAACTGAATATGATTCCTCTCTCTCGTCGAGTTTTCCTCGAATTTATCCGTTTCCATTGTTTAACAAGTTTACAAAAAAAAAAAAAAAAAAAACAATTGCATTGTTCAATCGAGACACCTAATTCTTTCCATTAGCATCTGAAAAGGAGCTCTTTATTTTAAATCAACACCCTCTCATTCGGACCTCTCGGTTGACCCCTGTTCAGGTCCTCACAATGTTGTCTATTTTTGTTGATGATTCAAAATTCTCAAACTTCAGTATCATCAGTTTTTTATGTCTGAACTTCAGTATCAATGAGACCACTGTTGAGAATTACAATTTTTTGGGGGTAAGAAATAAACTGGATGTGAGTAAACCATCCATTCTAAGTAAATTTTAGACATAAATAAATTGTTGTATATAGACAGATGTGATTAAAATTATATAGACAAGATTAAAATATTTTATTCATATCTAAAAATACACTACAAGAACATGGTGGTTGCTAGTTCAGACATTGTGGTCATAACTCTAAATATAGCAGGGAACAATCCTGCCACACTGATACAAAATACAGTAAATAATTGATGTTTGGCTAACTATTAAACATATGTATTTGGTATTTAGACTGATTACTTCCTCAAAACTGAACTATTTGGCCAAATAATCTCATTTCATTTTATTTTGTTTCCTTTTCTCTCTCTCTTCTAGAGAGAAAAGGAAATAAAATGAAAATAACAATAAAATCTCAGATATTTAAAAATATTTTTATTTATTCTTTTTTTGAAACAAATATAACTTTAATGATCAATTATTTATTGTGACATTGTCACAATGCCAGGCTGCAATTTTTAATTTATTTAATTCAAAATATATGCTCTCCACCTCAAATTAGTTGTCTTGCCTCTGTAAATCATACTTTTCCTTTAACAATAGAATTGTACCAGTCATCTATCTAACACCTTTTAGAGGAAATTTTTGAATTAAAATAATGTGACTTCTGGTTTGCATTGCATGTTCTTATATAGTTAATTGGGTCTTCCTGTCCCTAAGGTTTCCATGTCTGGTCTCATGTTTCATCTAACTCCATTCATGAGATTAAGGAAAGATGGACGGACAGTGGGAATTAAAAGGTGTAAAATTTTTTCAAATTCCAGCCCAATGAATGATCTTGAATAAATATTATTTATTAATAATCACAATTCAAGAGAGCTAAATTGTAATGAAAAAACATTAATAAGAAAGTTATAGCATTTATAAGAAGTGATTTTATTAGCTGTCATAAATACTTCCAGTTTCACTGAACACACTATATCAGGGATGTCCAACACACTGCACCCTAAATTATTTAGGAACATTTTCATTTACTTTGGTAAGGTATGTTGTAAAAATTATTTTCGTTTCACTGGATACACTTTGATGTCGTAATGATGTAATTGGTGCTAAAAAATTATTTTATCTAGAAAACTCTTATGCATGTGGGGTAGTACATACTGTTGTAAACAATTATTTTCATGCATGAAAAGCATGAAAACTGCTGAAAGAAATAGTTTTGGTAATTCCCATTTAACTAACATTCTTACAATTAAGACTAGTACCACAAAAGCAGATATTGACAATATTATAAAAGGAAACTGATGGCAAAAATTGCATTGAATTTATTTTTATTTTGTATAAGTATAATTTTTTTTCTACTGCCAATAAATAATACAGTATTTTTTGTAATTATATATATTTGTTATTAAAATTTGATATTCACATTTTGAACTTTTTAAAAGAATATACTTATATAAGGTACCTTATGTGGCCTGCTGAATACAGTAATACCCCGACTTACGCTACCTTGACTTACGTGAACCCAGAGTTACGCGATTTTCAAATCTCATCAATTCGTCTTTTGTTTGAGTGCCACGCAACTCTCGATTACTCACTCCTCTCACACTATTGTTTGGCTTACATGTTCAAACGTGTCACGCGGAATCGACATATAGCTACAATTTGTTTTGTGTTATTTATTTCTGTGTTTGTTATATCTACGGAGACTCGAGAAACTCTACTATGTCATCCAAACAAAGTAGAACTGATTCTCCTGCATCAGACAAGAAAAGAAAAACTTTATCTTTGGAATGTAAAGTTAACATTATTAAAGACTTCGATACAAAAATGAAAATTTGTGAATTGGCAAAGAAGTTTGATCTACCGGAATTGACGGTCAGAACAATTATGAAAGATAAAGAAAGAATTCACGAAGCTGTAAAAAATGCTCAATCTTTAAATTCAAGCATCATTCGTAAATGTCACGGTATTATCCCTGAGATGGAAACTATGTTAAAATTACGGTGTGATAATCAAGTAAATGTGAAAAATTGTATAATAATATAATTTGTTATAGGCTACACATGTATTATCTAAGATTTTATTAATCGTTTTTTTCTAAATTATATTTTTCTTTAGTCTTCGGCCCCAATTAAAAATTATTTGTATGTATTTATATGCGAAATTATACCCCGACTTATGTGGTTATCGCTCAGTCCCACCTATCGCGTAAGTTCGGGGTATTACTGTATATGTAAATTTCTAATTTGGCTTATTTGAAAAAAAAGTTGGACAACTCTGCATTATATATTCATAAGAGACATTGATAGAGCTGCCAAAAAATGATGGACCTCAATGGCAAGATGTAATTTTTTGCTTTTCATTACATAATAATAATTTTTGAATGGTAAAAATGTATAAAATTTTTATTATTGAATAGAAGATGTGCTTCCATCTTATTCTAAGGCTTAGAGTCTAAGCCTTTTGTTTTAGGCAGTTCCAAATAACCAAATATTCAGTACTAGTAGCCTGGGACACCCCCTAGTGGGCGTTATTTACAAATTTCCATGAGGCACGGTTCCTTTGACTTTTTTGTTCCTATTAATATGCTGTACAGCTCTGTTAAAGTCCCAATGGTAAGATTTACCCTCCGAATAAAGAGGTGGCGACCCCTCAAACTGTAGCCCCTGTGCGAACAATAAAGTCAAAGGAACCACACTCCTACTCGCGACCCTTTGTGAGATATAAGTCCCTGAAATAATAAATGCCTATTACAAATATACTGAATTATTTATATTGTTATATTGACCAAATAATAATTTATGGGCCAAATGAATAATAATAATTTATATTGTTCATTTAAATAATAATTAAAATCGTTAATTTCAATGTTTGAAATATGACACACGATAGGGGCGCCTCTAGTGTCCGTTATCAAACGGTTACGGGACAGACGGACACGTTGAATGGGTTATATAGATTCAGTAGTCAGAGAGGCAAGAATATTCTTCAACAGTAACATCCAAATAATTCCATATTTGGTATTCAGCCAAAACACCTATTCAGTCTATAAATTTTTAATTCTAAATATTTATTTAAATACAGTAGAACCTTGATTATCCGGACTAATTGGGGATGAAGGTAGTCCAGATAAGGAAAAATTCGGATAATCAAAACAAATACTTTAATTTGTCTTTTAATGATAATACAACACATTTTCTTTTTGATGACTATCGATAATATTAAAGGTAAATACTGTATTTAACTGTGATCAAATTTTCAAGAAACAAACGCTCGTATTGAAATTGGACTACTACTGATCAACGCTAACAGACTACCTATTGTTTAAAAGGCCCTCTGGTAGTGCAAGAAGACAGATTTTATAAAATAAAAAGCAGTTAAAACTGCATTTTTATTAATAAAAATTTGACAAACTATTTATTGTTTTATGACGAATAAAATTTTTTCGTTGTGTTTGCGGCTTTTAAGTAATGCATAAACCTTCGAAACGCGAGGCCCTTCGGACCGCCAGGCATAGGCTCACATTGCCCATGCCTTATGCCGCCATTGGTCATAGAAATGATGTAATTTGAATATAAATTATTTATAAATACGTATGTCAAGTTATATTTTTATTACAACGCAAAATATATTTAAGAGTTTACGCCCACTGTGCCAGGTAAGACATTGTAGAAACAAAAAAGTTATGCATTTCATCACGTACATAAACAGTATCGTAATTTGCCAAGTGCAAATCAGCAAATTCATAAAATTTTTTTTATTTTGAACGATCAGGATAATCGAAAATCCGGATAATAGAGGTCTGGATAATCGAGGTCCTACTGTATTGATCTAATAGAATGTCAGATTATTTGAATTAATTAATATGCCTTTAACAATAGGATTTTTAGAAGAATGCCAAAGTTTAAAGATGCATTAATTAGTTCAGCTAAGTTATCACAGTGGCTAATATATCATCATCATTTTAAGATTATTTTTGAAATTATAATTAATTTATCATATAAATGTTAAGCAAAATTACAGTAGAAATTCCAAAAAACATAAATATTTATTGCAAGTTTATTTAAGGTTTTGCTGTTTTATGTATTTTAAATATAATTTTGTAAATTAGTATTTTTTAGTAATACAGTAGTAATTTTGTAAATAGGTGTAAATAAATGCAGTGCTTTAATTTCTAGTACTCAACCAATGTCTTCAAAAATTGGGAAGAAGTTTGTTTTTGCCCCAATAAAAGATACAGAATCATCATTCTTTTGGAAGGCTGCCATTAGAATTGGATGTTTACGAGTAAGTTAAAAATATAGAATTTTAATTTTGTATCTGATTTTTAAAATGAATAATTTTTTTGTCTTATTTACACTTAAATCTAGTTATATAATACCAGTAATTGTATTTTCAACAAGATAAACACATCTTGTTGAAAATCTTAAGTATCTTGTTTGGGTTGCAATGCTATGTTTTAATGAAAAGTTGATATGGTTTTGATAGCTCTGTTATAGCAGACATTTTGTAAAAACATATTTGCTACATGTTTTATCTCTGATTTAAATAAGACATATAGAATAGCCAAAAAAACTAAAAAAAAAAAAAAAAAAGATCACAGCTGTGTTTAGTGTCAAGATCTAAAAGATACTAATAATGTGATAGTTTTGACATGAATTGATAAATTTGCATATTCCTTTATTTAATGACACAGTAATTAGAATAGATACTTATCAATAAAAAAAAAAGTTTTTGGTGTGGAGATGGATTTTGATGTACAGAGATTCATTCCTATCATATAGTGTACTTAATTAAGATAAGTAATTAATAGATTCTTAATTACTGTATATAATTAAGAATCTATTACATTTACATTAAATAAACAGTTGTCATCAAGAAAGAAAATTATTTTTAATTTGTAAAGCATTTAACAAAAATTATTAAAATGGAATGGATATAACAATATTTAAAGGTTTCTTCTTCCAATAGTGAGACTAGTGATCTTTATCACTTGTGATTAAGAAAGATGTGATTAAGTGAGACAAGTGATAAAGATCACTAGTCTCACTTAATCACAGCTTTCTTAATTATCTGCAAGTTTTCCCCCTTAAAAAAAGAGAGAGAGACAGACAGAGAAGACAACTACCTTAGACACTGGACATGAGACTGAAGAGGAATTGGAAAATAATTACTAATTTGAAATGCATAGTTAAATTAGGCAAATAAGGTGGATTATTTTAATCTTGAACTCTATTTATTGTGGATAATTAAGAGACGTGATAAACATCACTAGTCTCACTATTGGAAGAAGAAACCTTTACATAAAATTATTTTTATTCAAGTTAAATTTTTTTGATAAAAATTATATTTGAAGATTATAAAATTTGTGGATCATATAGAATAACTTTTCTTGAAGACTATTTTATATTTTGTAAGACAGTATCTTGTCCCTTGTTTTATTGTAATTAAAAAATAAAGTTATGCTGATATGTAATTAGTAAAGCAGTTGAAAAACTATTAGTTATTTTAATTCAATGCTAATTTTTTTGAAATTTTGAAACACTTATTTGTTTATTTTTTTATAAAATTTAGTAATGATTTTAGACATGTAATGACTAGGCACATGGTAAATAAAGCAAGAATAATAACACAGAACAAGCAGAATTATAACAAAATATGCTTAAATTACAGTAGAATATATTAAAAACTAGTTGGCAAAATAATACAATGTGCATATAAAAACTATAAAATATTTATATATATATTAAAGAATAGTTGTTTTATATAGACTTAAAATGATTAATTGCATAAAAAAGATAATCTTCAGCTAACAATGTAGCATATATAGATCTTAAGAAAGAAAAATAGAAATTTAGTTAAACAAAGTAGTTAGAAGGGAAATACATAATTGGAACATGGATTGTGAAAATAAAAAATATTGAAATTTCATTAAAAAGTTTAAAAACAGAATATGATCAAAATAAACTATGTTTATATAAATTATAAAATCTAACCCAAACTCTTGCAATTTCTCAGGAGCTATTGAAAGGCAGATTATATGATTTGTTAAAAGTAAAATACACTTTACACAATTTTCATTATACAGTAGAACCCTTGTAATCCATCACCTTTGGGACTGGGGGTATGGTCGGAACGCAAAAAAGGTCGGATTATCAGAAAAAAGTAAAATAAACAATCTTCCCCTTTGTCCAGTCTTTGTAGCACTGCTAATTTTTCATTTAATGAAAGAGTAACGTGTTTACGTTTCACTCCTGACATGTTGAAAATACACACAAAACTGTACATGTACACACAATGTAAAACATATACTGTAACGAACACAGAAAAATGCCACAGACGGTGAGTCACCGATGAGTCGGGACAAGTTTCTCGACTCCGACCACGGTCGGATTAACCGGAGTGACGGACTAGCCGAGGGCGGACTAGAGGGGTTCTACTGTATTATTGTCTACTTTTGGATGTAGTATATTATTAGGATTTATTATACTGATTTTCTGTTTCTGCAAAAAGAGGAAATCTTAAAATCCACTACTCAAAAACCTTATAAACTGCAGCCATATTTATTGGTATGAAATGCAGTCTATGAAGAGATTAAAGAGGAAATCTTATTCAGAAAAAACAATCTTCCCCTTTTTGCAGAAATGGAAACACCAGTATAGTAAGTTCTAATAATAAACTAAGTCCAAAGTAGACAATAATATAACAAAAATCATATACAATAAGGACATAGGCAAATGAATTACACTTTACACACTTATGTAAGGTGGTAGTTTATGTAGGTAAACAATGACAACTGGAAATTGTCCAAAAAATTAATAATAAAGTAAAAGGCTGACTAATCTGAACAAGAAGAGATGATGCAATAATGATTCTAAAGTATACCACTGCAAATAGTACAGTATGTAATTTTCTCACTACCAAGTCAATGTAATACATAAAGTTAAGTTTGTTTTGTTAAATATGATTTTGATATGATGAATGGAATTAATCAATTGTTTGCCCATTAAATTAATAGATAATGAATGAAGTGATGGATTTTAAACTAAGGAGAAGCAATTATACAGTTTCTTTATATTCATCTTACGATTAAAACTTTCCATTAGAGAAACAAAGATATTAAGGTTTCTTTATACAGTCATTCTGAGTTGGAGTTTTACATCATTACTGTAAGCAGTAATACTAGAATTAAGATCAGGAATAATATAGTTGAGATAAGCAACAAAAAGTAAATTATTTAAAACAGACTTTTGTGATTCACTATAATTTGGAGAGAAATCAAAAAAGAAAAGTTGTCAAGTTTAATATTAAAACATCAAAGCAAAAAAAATAGTTGTTGAGCCATACTATGGTAGCAGAACGGGAATCAAAATGATTAGCAATTATGTTTCATAAAAGAGAATAAAACGCCAAATTGAATGCCTGACTAATGTACTGACAAGATTTATGTTTTTTTTTTATTCTTGGAAGTAATGTTGATGTAAGACTGTAGATTTGTGTTGAATACTACACTGTTGAAACAATTTTAATTCAGCTGTAATTGGAGAATATAAATGATATTTAATATAAAATCATTTTGTAAAATTCATTCATCACTGTATAATTGTTTCTTATATAGATTTTATTGTTTCATTAAGATCTTTTAATTTTAAATAAAAACTTACCAATATCTAAATAATTATTAAAAACGAATTCAAATTATATATCAGATAGTAGACAGAACAAAACTTACATGCAATATGTTTAACTAGCCATGCAGATATGTTCAGTTTTTAATTAAAGTTTTCAGACTATCAATTTAAACCATTTTAAGTGGCATAATATTAAAGAATATCTTAAGAACCATTTTTCTTGCATTCAATGTATTTTTCCTTCAGTTCCTCTCTGAAAATATAATTTAATTTTTCATTGAAGAATGCTTATTGGAATATAACTTACTCAAATAAAATCATATGGAGTAGTAAACATTCCACAAACTATGCAATTTGGTAAGTAATGATTTTTGAATTTTTTTTGAAGCTAATAAAAATGCTGAAGTATAATTGCAATATCAAAAGCGTTAACAAGTGCATGTCTATAAAAATGTTCTGTTCAAGGATCAGTCATTGATTACTGCATATTCTTGGGATTCTGACCTAGTATAATCACATCTTGGAAGCATTCTTACCATACAAAGCAGAAATTTCGTTTTAAGAAAATATAATAGAATTTAGATTGGTATATATGCATATATACATACATAATCTAAGAAAATCAAATCTATATCTATCTACTGAACAGGTTTTTTTTTTTTTTTTTTTTCAATTATATTTTTATATATATATTAAAGAATAGTTGTTTTATATAGACTTAAAATGATTAATTGCATAAAAAAGATAATCTTCAGCTAACAATGTAGCATATATAGATCTTAAGAAAGAAAAATAGAAATTTAGTTAAACAAAGTAGTTAGAAGGGAAATACATAATTGGAACATGGATTGTGAAAATAAAAAATATTGAAATTTCATTAAAAAGTTTAAAAACAGAATATGATCAAAATAAACTATGTTTATATAAATTATAAAATCTAACCCAAACTCTTGCAATTTCTCAGGAGCTATTGAAAGGCAGATTATATGATTTGTTAAAAGTAAAATACACTTTACACAATTTTCATTATACAGTAGAACCCTTGTAATCCATCACCTTTGGGACTGGGGGTATGGTCGGAACGCAAAAAAGGTCGGATTATCAGAAAAAAGTAAAATAAACAATCTTCCCCTTTGTCCAGTCTTTGTAGCACTGCTAATTTTTCATTTAATGAAAGAGTAACGTGTTTACGTTTCACTCCTGACATGTTGAAAATACACACAAAACTGTACATGTACACACAATNCCTGAAGAACTTTTGAGTTGAATTCAAATAAAAATACTTTCTATATATAATTAAATATTTATTTTTTTATAGTGATAACATTGGTGACTTGAAATTCTTGCTTCATACCTACCTCATAACTTGTTTACACATCAGTGAATATGCTCTTTATGATAAGCATTTTGAGGTGGGTATTGTGTTGTTTATAGATTCTTAATGTTTTGGAAGGATGCTATTTTAAAATATTGTTTTTTTTTATAAAATATTGTTTGTTATTTTGAGAAAAAATGTATTATTGTCTTAAAATCATGTTGTAATGGATCTCTATTTTGGATTAGGATTATTGGAAATATTAACAGTTGTCCTAGTTTGTTTACTATCTGTTATTTGTTGAACATATTCTGCTGTGTCTTATTTGTTGTAAAGGATGT